TGGTTTGAATTCTACTTAAAGGACAGAAACAACTTTGTTTCTATAGGTAAATACACATCTGAATTGACAAATATGACATGTGGGGTTCCTCAAGGCTCCATCCTGGGGCCTCTTCTCTTTAACGTCTACATGCTACCACTGGCTCAGATAATGAAAAACAACAAAATAAGTTACCATAGCTTTCCGGATGACACCCAGATTTATATAACCATTTCACCAAGAGATTATGCTCCAATTCAAACAATGAGTAAGTGCATTGAACAAATCAATGACTAGATGTGTCAGAACTTTCTCCAATTAAACAAAGATAAAACTGAGGTAATGGTTTTTGGAGCCAAGGCAGAATGTATAAAAGTTAGCGCTGAGCTTCAGTCTGCAATGTTCAAAACAACAGATAGAGCCAGAAATCTAGGTGTAGTCATGGACTCTGACTTTAGTTTCAACAGTGCGATGCCCCTGTGGGTTCATCTAGAGAGGGTGTGTCTGTGCTGTCTGTGCTGTCTTGATTGCCTTGATTGCAGTAACTCAGGGCCTTTTAAGCCAGGTCATAACAACAGTCACATTAAAACAATTACTAAATCAGCCTACTATCACCTAAAGAACATTTCTATGATTAAAAGACTAATGTCACAGCAGGATTTGGAAAAACTTGTCCATGCTTTTATCTTCAGTAGACTCGACTACTGTGATGGTGTCTTCAAAGGTCTCACTAAAAAATCTATTAGAAAGCTGCAGCTAATTCAGAACGCCGCTGCCCGAGTCCTCACTAACACTAAGAAAGTGGATCTGCTGCTGGTTTATAAAGCATTTAATGGTTTAGGCCCAAAGTTGTTCTGGAAAACTGTCCGACACCTCAGGAGGGGGAAGCAGGGGACCATCCAAGCTGTGTACAGCAAGGATGGGACGTTGTTGACCTCAACTGATGGAGTGTTAGGGCGTTGGAAGGAGCACTTTGAGGAACTCCTGAACCCAACAACTCCGCCCTCTATGTTAGAGGCAGAGCTGGAGTATGACGGGGGATCGACACCAATCTCCCGGGGGGAGGTCACTGAGGTCGTCAAACAACTTCACAGTGGCAAACTGAGACTGCCAAGGCACACNTGTTAGTTAAACTCAATATTTCTAATCAATATTATAATTTCAGAAAGTTTTACCTAAAGGAATGTACATTTGATGAAGTAAAGATAACTTCCCTGTTTTTAAGAGATGAAAATATGTATTTGGACAACTACAGCAAAAAGCTATACAAATCTTTGCTTGAACTAAATGTTGTTTACATAAGTATTTATATTAATTTATGTTTTGTCAGTGCATGTTGAAACGCATTTAATCGTATGTTGTTTTAATCAATTCAGCAGCTTTTATATACATAAACCTATGTATCTGTTAAATAAAAAATATTCCTGTTCATTTGTGTTGTTAATTGATTCGTAACAATTTGGCTATATATTTGTGTGCAGTGGTCGAAAGTAACTAAATACATTTACTCAAGTATTGTACTTAAGTACTTCTGTCACATATTTGTACTTTATTTGACTATTTCCATTTAAAGCTACTTTATACTTAGACTAATTTTAGAGGCAAATATTCTACTTTTACTCCACTACATTTTATTTACCTGTCAGTTTCTTTGTATATAACGCACATGATATGCTGATATAATGCAGTACTGCTCATCTACAGTAACAAGTACTTTTACATTTAATACTTGAGGTACATAGATAATGATACTTCTGTACTTTATATAGTTCTGAAATGGGTCATTGTGAAGACTGAGTCATTTTTGTACTGAAGTAACATTTTGATATAAGGACTTCTACTTGTAATGGAGTACTTTAAGACTATAGTATTTGTACTTTTACTTAAAGATCTCATGTTATACACCTTTTCAGGTTTATTAAAATATTTTTGGAGACTACTAGAATACATATTAATACAAACATGAACATTTGGTTTTTGCACAATAGGTAACCTTAAGCTAAAGCTTACTATTGTTACAGCTGACTGTGAGAGATATTGCTACGTTTGTCTTGGATATGTCATTTTGAACTTTTACTGGAAAATGTTTTTGTTAGTTAAACTCAATATTTTCTAATCAATATTATAATTTCAGAAAGTTTTACATGAAGGAATGTACATTTGATGAAGTAACTTCCCTGTTTTTAAGAGATGAAAATATGTATTTGAAAACAACTACGGCAAAAAGCTATACAAATCTTTGCTTGAACTAAATGTTGTTTACATAAGTAAAGATCTCGTTATTCACCTTTTCAGGTTTATTAAAATATTTTTGGAGACTACTAGAATACATATTAATGTATAAAAACATGAACATTTGTTTTTTGCACAATAGGTAACCTTTAAGTAAAGGATCTGAGTACTTCTCCCAACAGTGTTGATATGATGTTAGCTGTAAACGAAATTACGCAGAAACAAATGGACGAGTATCGCCAAGAACCGTTAAAATAGGTTGCTAGTTAAGCTAGTTAGGTTAGGAGGTGATGCTATCAGGATTTAATTTAGTAGTGATAGTTAACTTGAATGTTACGCTTTTCTTTCGTCCAGTTATATTTAATTTAACCTCCCTCTGAATCATTGTTATATACACACTTTAAAAAGCGCAGTTTATTTTCAGCCGGCAGCTATTTAATGAACTAATCTAGGAAATTAAAACCAGCACTCTTGCTTTTTGCCAGCTGCTACGTCCTGTTTTGTAGGAGCTCTGGAGGAGAAAGCGCCACATGCTGTCCTTCATCGCCGCCCCCTCCTCCCAAGCCCCGGCTCAGACAAACTAGGATCAACGGCCCCAACACCGTAAACCAGATACATTTAACTTCCTGAATGTAACCTACACGTTTCACCGGACCACCCCTGGGTGTCGGTTGTGTTTTTGGGAGACGCTGACACTGTTTCTCCCTCGGAAACTCAGCATGTCCGTGTTTTTCCGTTAGATTCACCACGGCGTCGCCAGCGAAGCACAAGCAGCAAAACAGTGACAGACTCAAGACATCCTTGTTGCCACAGCAACTAGCAGAAACATGATTTCCGGTTTTAGGAGCGACATTTCAAAATAAAACGTGTGATTTCATTTCGTGTTACAATGAAGGTTTAATTTACAAGGTGGCCACAGGTCTTCAATGACATCCATTTAAACACAGACAGTGGCAGAACTTCCGTGTTAGTATTATTAGATCATCTCAGTGTCTCATTTGATACTGTTGACCACAACATATTACTAGACCGACTGGAAAACTGGGTGGGACTTTCGACAACAGTTCTAAATTGGTTTGAATCCTACTTAAAGGACAGAAACAACTTTGTTTCTATAGGTAAATACAAATCTGAGTTGACAAATATGAAGTGGGGTTCCTCAAGGCTCCATCTTGGGGCCTCTTCTGTTTAACATCTACATGCTACCACTGGCTCAGATAATGAAAAACAAGAAAATAAGTTACCATAGCTATGCGGGTGACAGCCAGATTTACATAACCATTTCACCAGGAGACTATGCTCCAATTCAAACACTGCGTAAGTGCATTGAACAAATCAATGACTGGATGTGTCAGAACTTTCTCCAATTAAACAAAGATAAAACTGAGGTAATGGTTTTTGGAGTCAAGGCAGAACGTATAACGTTAGCGCTGAGCTTCAGTCTGCAATGTTCAAAACAACAGATAGAGCCAGAAATCTAGGTGTAGTCATGGACTCTGACCTGAATTTCAACAGTCACATTAAAACAATTACTAAATCAGCCTACTATCACCTAAAGAATATATCTAGGATTAAAAGTCTAATGTCACAGCAGGATTTGGAAAAACTTGTCCATGCTTTTATCTTCAGTAGACTCGACTATTGTAATGGTGTCTTCACAGGTCTCACTAAAAAATCTATTAGAAAGCTGCAGCTAATTCAGAACACCGCTGCTCGAGTCCTCACTAACACTAAGAAAGTGGATCACACCACTCTCGTTCTGAAGTCTTTACACTAGCTTCCTGTGTGTCAAAGAATTTATTTATATATAAATTATGAACCATCCAGAACTCTCAGGTCTTCAGGGACTGGTCAGCTTTCTGTCCCCAGAGTCAGAACTAAACATGGAGAAGCAGAGTTCAGTTATTATGCTCTTTTAATGTTTATTTTATTCTCTTTTCTTTTTAATGACTGTTTTTAAATGCCATTTTCTTAATGTCTTTCATTTTTGTAAAGCACTTTGAATTGCCTTGTGTTGAAAGGTGCTTTATAAATAAGCCTTATTTCATATCTATTTGATAAAATAATATTTAAAAAAACATGCAGATATGGTCAGGTAATTTATCAAATGTGACTTTTCACAGCAATGGTGGAAAGGCACTAATTACACCACTCAACCGCTGTTATATTGTGTACATGTGGCGTTTTTATGTCATGGCACCTTACACTAGCCTACACTAAAGAGGGGATATAAGGTAGCTCACTCTTACTAAACCACTATAGCAGATAATCATGAACTGCTGTTATTTAAGTTATCTGCACTTATAATAAATCACATGATGGCTTATTATAACATGTGTTGTTTGGCTACAGTAAATGAATAATTTGTATACAAAATAAATAAATAAAAGCTCTATTGACACCAGACAGAACAATAAAAAGGCATCTAACGTGTCGCTGCTAATTATACAAATATTTGGAAGACATTTTGTTTTTGTTTGTATGGGTATTGATTTTATTTTATAAATTGTATTTTTATATTGTTATTTACAGTGAGCTCTAGCGTATCTTCCATTTTATGTGATGCATTTTATGTTTTCTATTTCATATGATTATGTTACCAAGGGTGCGTCTTTTTTAATGTAATTACACATTAATGATGGCATTCTACCTCTGTTTATTTGGCTTTATGGTAGTTATTAACATCTGCGTATTTATGTTTTCATTTCATCTGCAATTTCGGGTTCACTTGTGCGGCTTTTATGATGAAAACCTCCCACCGGAAGTTGTCTTTGGTAGTTCTTGCCAGTTTGACGGTGGACACAAAAAACTGCGAATCAAGGAGAGGGACAGCGCCCAGAATAACTGTAAACCTCTGCAAACTGTGTGGAGCATCGTGTTGGAAATGAGACCCCGGTCGTTTTCTCCGGTGTGTCGGACATTTAATCAGAGGTAAGAGGATGCTTTTAATCGACAAGGTCACAACAACAAGAAGATTTTTTCTCTACATGGTCATGAGTCCGTCCGACCAAGTTGCTTTCCTGTGATGTTATCGAAATTATATTCACCAAACTGGCTGTAATTGGCTTTAATCCGCGGATTTCCTTACTGCTTTTCTGGTGTTTTGTTGTGTGGACGGACACTTTCAGGCAGGAGGGTATTGGGGGTCCTGGTGTGGACGGGGGTGGACTTTTTTTGTGGCCTGTGATGAGCTCCGTGGGCTGGGGTGGGATATGTGCGGAATACCAAATCTGGACGACACAGTTTTTCTCCCTAAATTAGCTTTTCTGAGCCCCATCCTGTGCTGTTTCTACTTGGAGTAAAGACCGCGATGGATGAACGTGTTGATCCGCCCCAGTGGCCTGCTGCTGCCGCCGGGTAATCCAGTAATCTGGAGTAGAAATGGTTGCTTTTTATTGTAACACCATTACCCCTCATCCTCCTCCTCCTCTTCCTCAAACACACAACAAAGTATGGATGTAACCGGGTCTAATGGGGTGTGAGCTACGTAGTTATTTATATCTGCACTAATGCAACAATTGTTAGTCGATTAGTGGATCAACTAATCGAGGAAATTAATCACTTCCAGTAGTGATTATGTCTAATCTCCAAACGTCACATGCATGACTTTCTTTCACCATTTTGTATGATGACAGGCCAACAATGAACACTTGGTGGGATTTAATGTATTTGTGTCTGCAACTAACAGTTGTTTTATATTAGTTGATTTGCTGATTGTTTATTAGATTAATAGTTGGATCTTTTGGCCTATGAAATGTTCGAATATAGTTTAAAACATCCATCCCAGCTCCTCAGAGTCCAAGGATGTATCTTTAGATGTCTTGTTGTATTTGTTTATTCTGTGGATGTGATATAAAACAGAGAAAATTAGGACATCTCTATATTTGAGAGGCTAAAACCATTAGACATTATTGCATAAAAGAATTACTTCAACAATGTATAACATAGGTGAATAGGGGAATATTATAATTTATCAACTAATAAAATAGTTAGCCTTTAATAAAGTAATGAGTTGCAGCCCTTAAAGTAATCAAAGGCATTATTCTTAAACTGCAACTATTATCTGATTTATCTTTCAGACGATCCACAAAATAATAATCTGCAGTTATTTTAATAATCAGTTGATTTTTCAAGCAAAATCAGAAGAAACTTCAGTTTCAACTGTCACATATGGAGTTGTCCTACTTTTCTCTGTTTTATATCCTTCTAATCTGAATATCTTTTGGTTATGGACTTAATGAAACTGGGAAGGCAGTTACTGTAACAATGAATCGAATAGATCTAATCATTGGCAGATTATTTGATAATACAAATAATTGTTATTTTCAGCCTGATCTGAGATGGTTGCAGGCCCAGACTTCTTACCAAACAAGACTGCATGCGCTTGTGAATGCAGTGAGAGCAGTGAGAGCACCAAAGGCTTTTTTCAGACAAAACTCCAGTCTTGTGAGGTGATTGGAAACAGTGTCCTCTTTGTTCCCGCCGCTCTGAGGAGAGGATTAATCCAGTTAATGATCTCTAATGTAAGGGGGGCGGGGGGCGATAAAAGCACATCTGACCGAGTAGTAATTGACATTCAGAATCATTAATATTACTGAAGCCCGCTGAGCTATTTATGGGTGGGTGGGAGAGTAAAAAATGTGTGTATCACCATTGTGACTTTGCACTTTTAAAGCTGTGCCCACCCCAGGGTGCAAGTCACAGTCCAGCACAAGTCATTAGGCCATTTTTGGTAACAGTGTTTGGTGTTAGGGCTGCATGATATAACTTGAGACACATAGACAGAGAGTGTACCCAGTTCCGCTTTTCTAATATATTCAGTATGGTGCTAAATCAGGATCATAATATTAATCTGAAACTGTAACTAAAAAAAGCTGTGAATGTATTAGTAAACTGAAACCAAGCAAACATCTTTGCCTGGTTAAAAAACGACTAAAACAAAATCAACATACATTTATTTCAGTTTTGTAACTATTTATTTGCTGTAATAATAAAGACATTAGCTAAAGATTTGATGTAGCTAGCGGATTTGTTCTTTTAGCAGACACACTCTGAAAACTCTCACGTTACATTTGATCAGTTTACATTTGCTTTCAACTAGTTAAAAGAAATCCGTTAGTGCATTATAGCAATCTTTCGTGATGTGTTCATCGTGAGAGTTGACATCATGATGCTGACAAAAAAAACAACATGTGTTGCAGCTGTAGTTGTTGGTGTGTTGTTTTTTGACGTAAAGGCTCTCTGGTATAGCATCTTTTCTTTGCCTCGTTCTGACCCCTGAGCAACTCCAGTTAATCTTCCCAGTGTGCAGCTGAGATTAGCAGTTTAGCCGAACCTCCGGCATGCTACACCCCGAGCCAACGTCCAGGAGAACGTAGAGTCACAGCAGGGAGTTTACAGCTTACTCTCATGTCAGCAATGTTGTCCCTAACAAGCTTTGATCAAGTAAAAACCATTATCTGTTTGTTTCTTTTGCAACAGGTGGAATATGTAATCCCATATGTTTATAAAATCTCTCTTGAATTTGAGTTTGGTGTAAAACAATGGGCTCTGTCCTGTGCTATGGGCTCATTCACAGATCCCATGTGTTAATATGGGATGGTTTCCTGCTTGACAGCTTTACTTTTCTTTAAATCTGTAATCTCTTTTGTGACTAGATAAACCCATGCGGGACCCTCTCCTCCTATAGTTCCCCCTGTCTGCTGTTAATCTGGACATTTACTGGTTTATCTTGGAGTAAAAAAAGAGTTTTACACCCTGGCACCAACAGCGGAGGGATAGTTTCTATATTCTCCTTCCAAACTTCTGTGTAGAATTTCCTGTGTAGAGTCAGCCATGAGACTTCCTGTGCACTGCTGCTGGATGTGGAGGGGGTGGAGAAGTAGGAAAGGAAGGGGAAGAGAAGCAAAAGCAGACTCATGTTGTCCGTGGTGGCCACTGCGGTAGCTGCGTGTGTGTCGTTCGCAGTCTCAGACTTTTAAACAAAACCCATCACTACATACATACACATTCACACACACACACAAACCTAACCACACCCATACACACACATTACAACACACACACACAACCACCATCCACAACACCCACACGCACAACAACCCAACAGCACACTCACAACACACACCAACACTAACTTCCTTCTCACTCACACACATATCAGACAACATACGACACACTACTGTCATCACACCACACCAGCACACACTCTCTCTCTTACCACAGTCATCAGTCACACGCAGAACACCACTCTCTCTCTCTCTTCACTTACACACCACACACGCACACAAACACACACACAACACACACCACACACCCACAACACCACACCACACACAGAACAAACACACAGTTATCGTCTCCTCTCAACCCCATTTACACACTGTCTTCGCTGACAACCAAGGCATAAACAGATCTGTTGTTCTCTCTTACACACCACAACCCTGCTACCACATACTTCTCATCCTCCTTCACTACGACACCGACACGCACACCAACGACAGTTGCGTTCTTGGGTTCACACTTGTCACATGGACATAATGTGTTTTCCTACTATCGTAAATATCTGTCTTGGTGACAGTGTGAAATCGAGTATGAACAACGGTAGACATGGACAAAACTGGACCCGAGAGAACTAGAGGCCAGACAGACGACAACTAATAATATCCCTGAGAAGTTTAAATTCTGTCTTATCAGTCCAGTCTTTCTATTTTCAACACTTTAACCCCCCCCCCCCACACCCACCCAACAACCACCACACCCCCCCCCCCGCCCCTCCACCTTTAGCTATGAGAAGAAGTGACGGAACCCGAGTCTCTTATGTGTGTTTTTATA